TGGCGTATGATCCTCTTTCACATAACCTAACATGAAAATGTATCTATGTCTTTAAATACTCTTGAGAAACAAAATTTTAATGGCTATGGACTAGTCCATCTTGCACAAATGTATTGTATGTTTTTAACCTATTCCCAACAGATGAATATTTAGGCTGTCTTTTTGCAGGGACACAATCATTGGTTATTTTCATCTAGAAAGTTTGTTCTGGGAACAAATTCATGTACTAAAGCCAGAGACAATGGGGCAAAGGTGCAGAAAGCAAAATCTAGCCCTGTCATTCAAACACATTCATTTATATCGATATTTTCAACTTTTCTCCCAACCCGAAAGTGCTAGGTGAACAAGTCCATTAGAATTATATAGTCTGTCTATACATAAGGAAAGCTGAAAGCCAAGCGCAGGGAGTGAATCCATCAGAGAGCCATTTCTTCCAATGACAACTTTAATGGAATCAAATGTAAGATATATTTTTGGAATGTTAATACATGAATTCATTAGCTCAGATGTGGCTTTTGGTTAGGTATAGCCTGAGCCAGTGGTCTCCAAAGAGAAATGTGTAAGACAATCCCCTGGGCTGCAGAAAAACGTAGAACTTGTATTCAAATTATTTGTATGTTATCCTCTTAAATTTTCTACTTGAGTATGCCTTTTTAATATATGTAACATATTCATGCACCAGTACATATAAATAATTTATACGCACACACACATATGAATTGCAGGCACTTGCTAATTTTTTTAAACTAGATTTCAAAACAATATGGAGAGTATTGCTTTTGATTTCTGTTATTAAGGAGCTGGGAGAGTTATTGGGGGCTAGAAACCTACACAGTACATGTGGATATCAATATGGGCTAATGTTCTGCCTGAGTGTGGGAAGCACTGGGAAGGCAAACGAAGCCCCAAGTTTGGCTAAGTCTAGGACATACGTGATTGGACCTGGCAAGGTGACTAAGTCAAAAGGTTAAGATCATCTGGGAAAAGCAAGCATCCAGGGTACGTACATTGAATTACAGTTGAATTACAATTTATGGCACATTCACAGACGTGGCCTAAGAGGTCAAGGCAGAAGGACCCTGATGAGTCTAGGACACCTGAGAAGAGACTGAGGTAGGTGAGAGCTTCACAGCCTTCCAAGACTGAAGGTTTCATGTGCCCATCAGTCTGTCACCCTAAGCAGTCACTCGGTAGGTCTCTGCAGTAATGAGACATGGAACAGGTAGGTTTCAACAGGCAGCCACAGAGGGAGGCCTGGTGAACTCAGGGTATGGACACAAGTCCTAGAAGCCTGAAAATTAATTTGGAGAGCAATAGCCAAAGGCAAGGTAGGAGCACCCGGACATTAACTTTCCCCCACAGCTTTGCAGAGTGTCAGTTCTGCCTAAACAGTAGTATATAATCCCTGGCTAATTCCGGCATATCTAGGTATTACATGATAAAGGGCTGTTTTTAAGACACTGAGTTTCTTCTGTCTCCCTCAAATGAAAAAAAAAAGAAAAAGAAATTTAGAAAAAGCAAATGAGAGTCATTTGCTTGTATGTATGTTTAACTAGGTGACTCAAAGTTTATGTGAACCATAAAAATAAATTATTTTCCTCTGGACATGTTTAAATGTCCAGTTTCTTCTCAAGTTTAAAATATCCCTTTTCCAATATAGTTTGTAAGTAAGATGTACCAACTCCTAAGGTGGCCTTGATCCACCCATATCCAATGGTGAAGGCTATAGGTCTTCCTGAGAACAAAAAAAAAAATAGGCAGAGAATGTAAGCTGACCACTAAAGGTGACACTGACAGCAGGAGTCCATGTCTCCATGAGGACAGTGAATTTGCAGTGAGTTCCCACCCTGATGGTCACCAAGGAAACAGCGGAAAGGTGTCACAGAGGATCACGAAGCTCTCTCCAGACAGAAAGTACACTGTAGCCCTGCCCACCCCAGGCCATAAAAATGAGACAATAAAATGAATTTTCTCAAGAGAGGAAGGCTGCATCCCTGTCTTGACAAGGCGTCTGCTCACACATTCTCTTTAGCTGGGATGTGAGCAGCTGAAAGCCAGTGGCTGTTTCTGCAGGCTTTTTTCCAAATGCGGAAGGCTCTGTCTCTGAATTCTGACTGAACTTACCCCTTCCCGCCTCAAAATATGCTCTCTCAGCTCAAAAGTTTGACAAGATCAAATAACCAGAGCTATTTAAATATCCGACTTTAGATAACACCTTCCAAGACAGTTAACAATTCTAGCTTGTTTAGACTCTTCAACTACCGCCTCCTTGCCCCCCACCCCGACACACACACGCACATATCAGAAGCCAGGAGAACTCGTCTTTCTCCTTCAGCCCTCCTTACCATCCAAATGACAACTTGGCTTACTTCTAGGTTTGGGATTGCTACCTTTCCTTAATCCTGCAACAGCTGCCTCTCAGTGGTCAAGCTAAATCCATTTAGCTTATGTCTGACTTGTGGATCTTCTGGGGTAGAAAAAAAATTTTAAATAATTCTTATGCATTAAAAACAACTGGTCACAATAAGGAAGACTAATGGGCATTCATAACCTGTCACAAGACAGAGTTCCTGTTCTATGCAGTATTCACTTATGCAAACTCTTGTAAAGGTACCAAATTCACAGCACAACTGGACTGGAGATTACATTGGTATGCACATTTCTGAGGCCTGGTTCTGTTTCACATTTTCATCAGTGACCTGCTTAAGAGAGCAGAGAGCAAACTCGTTAAGTTCCTAGATGGGAGGGATGGCCAGAACATGAGAGTACAGGATTAGAATTTCCCCAGCCCTGGCCAAATCAGCAAAACTGTCAGAGTCAAATATGTTCATCAGGGACGGGCAAGGAAGAGGACAGCCGTCCAAATGTAAGCTGAGTAGTGGTAGCTTATTCAGGCGCAGAACTGAGAAGAATACAGATGCAAACACAGACTCACCACAGGAAATAAACGTACCCAGCGTAACTGCTGGTGCTCACCAGGTCCTCTGCACCCCCTTCAAGTGGATTCAGATCCCCAGTCAACAGACTGTGGAAGCATAAAGCTTCCACCTCAAGAATCCTGAGAATTCCAACGAGCTTTTCCTTCTCAGGGCTTCCTCTAGCTTCAGATTCCCAATTCCACCTTTAATCAGCCTGGTTTCTGGTCCACTTCCTTGTCCTGCCCTAGTCCCCCTACAGCAAACATGGTCGGCCCAGACATAAAAACCATTTCCCTTCCACGAGCAAATCATGGCCGCCTGCAGAAGCCTATCTCCTCGGTTGTCTCGGCTCTTGTTTAATCCTTCTGATTAAACTTCTATCCCACGTCGCTTAATAGGATTACTTTCCTAAATATAGACAATTCTCTCTTTTAGAGGAACTCTGGGGCCAGCTGTTAAGATAACAGCATATGCACCTGTGTCACTTAACAGAAGCAAGCATGACAAAGTCACGAGGAAACTCTGTTACTCACAAAGTCACAGTGCTACGGCCATGGATCAGCACATTTTTTTCTGTAAAGTGATGGATAGTAAATATTTTCTAACTCAGCTGCAACTACTCAGCTCTGATGGTGCAGCATGAAAGCACTCATGCACAATATGCAAACGGAAGGACCCAGTTGGTTTGGGCCCCCGAGTGGGCCATAGTTTGCTCATTCCTGCTAGACTCAGCCTCAGAATCTGACTTTTAGGGAGGCTTGGCAACCATCGTATTCAACCAGACCATTTTACACCTGTAGAAATCAGGACTCAGAAAGTTAAGAGTGATGCTTGTGCAAGTTCACGAGACAGTTAAGCCGGGGTTGAAACTTCAAATTAGAAACAGGTAGCCCAGCCCCCAGCGCTCTCTCCATGGCATCCTTACTAGGCTATGTCCGGAAGATCCTGGCACGCAGTGCTCACACGGCAGGGCTGCTTCTGGAAATCCAGCCACTATGACTGTGGTGACACGCATCAGTCACAGTGTGTGGGACACACAGTAGTGCTGTCTTGCAGCACCTCCAGGAGGACCTAAGGTGGAAATCTGACTGAAGACTCGGGTGAGGCTGACTAGACCACTAAGGGGCAGGCTTCCTGAAACCCAGCACAGAGCCTAGAGCTGACTAGGAAGGGAAACAAGGCACAAAACTCAGAGGACGTCATTTCATTTAGTTTACATAAAGCTAAAGGTGACACAACCTCACACACCAAGAGAAACGTTTTAAAGAGGAGCAACTGTTTTCCACCTCCTGTTAGAACGAAAAGAGCAGGACTGGAGTATAGGCTGGATCACAGAGAGAACTTACTGGAGGTAACTCTGTTACTCACAAGAACTGCAGGCCGGAGCGAGTCACAGAATTGTCTTAATTGGATCTGGGAGTTGGCAACTTTCCAGGAGGGAAATAGACTGAGTTAGTGATTCTCAAAGTCCTTTCTCTCATTAAGTCCCCTGAAAGCTGTAGGAAAGAGTTCTTCTCTGAACCAACAGGGACACATTCACTCATTGTATTTAATGAGAACAGGACAGTTTCTTTAAGAGGGTGGTGAAGTGTAGAACACAAAGTGGATACTGTATTGGAACAAAATAATTGTCCAGATTTCAAAGCAGCCTCCCAGATGTCACTCCCTCGCACTGGCAGGCATTCGTGGTTAATATGTGAAAAGCCCACCATTCCGGGTTGGACGTGTGTGCGTGTGGACGTGCTTGACGGCTTTCCCTCAGTCGTGGCCAGGGGTTTCTTCATGTGAGACATTCTTGATCTGCAATTTGAACACCCAGTAGCTTGGGTCTATTCCTCCTCGAAAGTCAGTGCCAAGTTTTTATGAGAACTCTTATTTTACGAGCTTTGATGAAGATAAATCATCACATACATCTTGTTACTAATTAAAAATGGCACAAGCTATTCACATATTTCTGGACAGTCCATTTCATGAAATTATCCCAGAAGCACTTGTCTGAAGCCACCACTTTTCTAAAGCCTAGTTTTCTAAATGATGAACTCTTGAGGATTATGATTTTTCATTATTGTAACTTTTTTCCAGATGATCCGGGAACCTGCACATCATGCGTTACAGGATATTACATGTAAGCCTGGCTTTCTTTTTTTTTTTTCATGGCATTAACTTTTTCTGCAGTTTAAGCATTACCAACTTAATCCTAAACCCAGTGATTAAAGCAAAGAGGCCCTGCACCCTGAAGTGACTCTCCCCTGTCAGGTTATTAATGAACAATTCTTGGATTTAGCAATAAGAGCCCAGCTGTTTCTTGCCTCAAAAGGAGGTCTTCTCTTTCTTGGTCCTGGAAGTCACCCAGCCTGACACTGGTGTCTAGGAATCCTGCCACAGGTTACCAAATTCAGACCTTGCTGTGTATGGACAGACTTTAATAATCTACCCAACCCCAAGCAAGCTGTTTCCAAATGTCTGCGTGGAGACCTCATCCTTAATAGGAGTCAGGCAGTCCAGGATAAAGCCAGGTGTTTTGTTAGCTCTTAATCCTCCCCCCAGGTAATGACAGACACAGACCACCAGGTTAAACGAAATGCAGAAAACCATCAGCCCTGCAGCTCTCTAGTACAAGCCCACAAACGAGAGCTGGTACATCTCAAAGTCACCTCTTCTTCCTACTCTAGTCTCCCTCCCAGGGTACTCTGGTAGAAAACTCTTGGAAGAAAAACTACAAAAAGAAGGGAGATAAAAAGAACAGGAAGGCCCCAAATAAGACACAGGGTGCACAGTTCCTGCCCGTCATCCTAAGAACTGGAGTTTTGTGGTGAACAAATTCTCACGTCCATTACTTCTCTTCACCTTCCTGTGAAGCCTGTCAAAGACCCGGGATCGATGCTCTTCTTCAGAAGAGGACACTGAGGCTCGGGGAGGTGACTGGCTCGCTCATGTCGCACACAAGCTAGTGGTGGGTCTACCCGTGGGTCACTTCAGCTTTGCTGGGCCGAGGCCTCCTGGCACCACAATTGCCTTTCTCCTCTGTCACGTTCCCAGAACCCAAATGTGGTGGCGCTGTGAAGAGATTAAAAGGGGTGGGGAGGATGGAAGGGAAAGGGAAACCCAACAAGCTGAAACATGCTGAAAGTGATCTGTCCGCCTAATCATTACTTAACCTCACGGTTTTAATTCAACTTCTCCAGAACTGTCTGATATTCTCTGCACTGACTGCATCCCTACATCACTGCTGATGGAAGGATTTAAATTAGTATTCCACTGAAACAGGGGAGGGGGTGGAGAAGAGGCCCCCAGATTGCTGTAAGAGAGACCAGATGGCATTCAATGAGCAGCCAGTCACTCATCAGCACGTTCATGGTGGGCACTTCCCTGCATGTGGCCCCTCCCAGGAAACCCCAGCAGAGATGAATGGCAGAAATGTAAGCATCCTCCGTGAGGCCACGTGCTTGTGGGTACAAAACGCTCCTTTAAGAACCGAGGGAGGACACACACTCAAACAGAAATAGCGACCGTGTAGAAGCAGCTGAGGAACTCTCCTTCCTGTCCCTCTTACAACTCTGCATCCCTCCAGCCTCACTCAACTCCTTCATTTTGACACCAGAACGCACCCCTTTCCCTGCACCTACTTCCTCTGTCACCTGAGAGCTGCTTCTTCAGTTCAGCTTTGGAGCCAGCCTTGTCAACCTCTCTGTCCCACTGCTGCTCCCTAATGAGCTTGTTTCATAAAACCCCTTGAGACACAAGTTCCCTGAAAAAGCATGCCCAATATCACAACGGGTAAAGCATGAGCTGTTTCCAGAAACACATATTCATAGCCCTTTAGGATATGTGTAGCAACTTTTGAGTACAGCTAATAAAACACTGCACAATAGTTGTTAAGGAAGAAAGGCAGAGCTTGCCTCTGATATCTTTTTGATGCTGTGAAATTCATCAGAGGGCAAGGTCACCTTCCTTCCGCTCCCCCTTCAAATGAACCTGTAATTCACTGGAGTCTGAATTACAACATTTACTGTAGAATGAAATAACAGATGATATACGTAAAACCGTAAGTACATAAAAGCGAAGGCACTTCAATGGTAATATTAACAATCTGGTTACAGACATCATGCTAAGCTGCTTGAACTCAACAATGAACTACTTCAAACCTGGCAGGTGCCATGCGGCAAAAGCACACAGGTTGTCTGTTCAAATGGATCTTGGGTAAAATCCCACTCCCTCTTTGACCTGTGTGGTTTTGAGTGCTTAACCTTGAGGCTCAGTTCTCTCAAAGAGAAATTAAAAATGAGTAACAGCTGCCACTTGGGGACTGTACAGAGGTTTAAATGAGCTAATACCTGACATGTAATCAGCGCTCCATTAATAAACATCAGTTCCCCTTTCCTTCCTCCTAGCCTCTGCCCTGCTGCCCTGACACAGGGTCCCTGGACTCCAGAGGGAGGTGGTTAGTGACTTGGTTTGGAGAACACACAACTGACCAAGAGGAAGTTTTCTCCCTTAAAACCCACCTGTTAAAAATGATGTATAATATATGTATACAGTAAATAAGCTACAAGCATATATTGTACAGCACAGGGAATAGAGCCAACGTTTTATAACAACTATAAATGGAACATAACCTTTAAAACCTGTGAATCACTATGGTGTACACCTGAAACTTACATAATATTGCTCATCAACAATAGCTCAATGACAAAATTTTTAATGATGCATAACATTTGAAAGTTGCTAAGAGAGTAGATCTTAAAAGTTCTCATCACAGAAAAAAAATCTGTAACTAGGTATGATGACAGATATTAACTAGACTTACTGTGGCGATCATTTTGCAATACGTACAAATATTGAATCATTATGTTATACACCTGAAACTAGTGCTGTATGTCAATTATACCCCAAAAAATTAAGGAAAAAGGGTTTGTATCTTCAAAGAATGATGTACAGATACACATACGGGGCTTAAATTACGGTGGTAAAGAGAAATATGTCAACATAACACACAGAAGAAACTCTTGTCTTCTCCTCACAGGTTTGAACACCACTGTTACAAAACCTGTCCTGAGAAGACCTACAGAGAAGAATCTGGATGCAAAGCGTGTGACACCAACTGCGGCAACTGTGACCAGCATGAGTGTTACTGGTGTGAAGAGGGCTTCTTCCTCTTGGGTAAGCCCGAAAATGGCATCGTCCGAAGTGAGAACCAGGCTCCAGGGCTCCGCCCAGAAATGGGAGAGCTGGTCTGATTGGTTTGAGAGCCTTTCTGTGCCTCTTGTCCAAGGAGGAATTTTAATTTGGTTTGAAAAGAAACATTCGCCAGGACTACTTCCTCCTGCTTTCATAACTGAAGCACAGTTCCTATTGCACTTAATTAATCTCAAATATCTCCAAGCTGACAGGGATAAAAAGGGAATGGGAGGGAGGGAGGGGCACTGAAGAGAAATGCTTCGGAATTCAGGTCACCTGGAATATTCAGACCACGATTCTTTCCTTGAGACTTAATCCATGTTATGTATTCCTTGCACCGTAAAAGTTCAACAAGATCCTCTGTCCTAGACTTTGGACAATTCATTGACTTTGATGGAAATGGATGGTTAGGAAAAACATGCTGGGAGTCTTCCAGCTGAAGAATGGTCCAGTGCCCTGGAATTTTTGTGGGAGAGACAGTGGGGCAGACAGCCCACAGTGACCTTCAGGGGTCCTCTACATAGAAATCATTTTATTCGTGGTTTCTCAAGGCCTTGAGGATGTAAAGATCTTTATTCCAAGCTCCTAACCCTTTGAGCTGCTAGCCAAGTTCAATTTTCAGTTGAAAGAGGATTTAAAGTGTGGGATTTATTAAGACATGTTTCTTGCTTGAAATAAGCTACTGCTATCACAGTTTCTTTATAAATTTTAGAAATATTATTGTGGGGGGGATTAGGTTTATTTATTTATTTGTAATAGCATTACTGGGAACTGAACCCAAGACCTCGGCCTGTGAAGCACACATTCTACCACGGAGCCATGCCCTCCCCTCATCATGGTTTCTTTAAAAACAAACTAAAGCAAGTATGTTCCTCGGACTCCCTGCAACCTGTCTAGAACTTGGCCTTGCGACCAGCCCCAGGCTAAGCCAGCCAGGGTTCCACCTTCACACCTTTTCTCTGTGTTCTTACGCAGGCGGCAGTTGTGTGAGGAAGTGTGACCCTGGCTTCTATGGAGACCCAGAGATGGGAGAATGTGAGCCCTGCCACCCAGCCTGCGAGACCTGCACCGGCCTTGGCCACGACCAATGCAGCAGCTGCCACGAAGGGTTGCAGCTGCTGCATGGGACGTGTGTGCGCCCCGCCCAGACCCAGGTGGAAGGCAGATTCTGGAATGGTACGTGCCTCCCGAGAGAGATCGCAGGTGTCCAGCTGCCTTCTCTGCCTCCCCCCACCCCTGAACCCTTCCTTTCAGGATCCTCAAGAGATGAAGGCAGCCGTGAAACGAAAGCTTGGAGTCCCAGAGCCTCTTGGATGCTCACTATGGGAAAGGGTAGGAGGCTGGGGCTGGCCCTTGCCAGGAGGGAAAACCCAAGAGGCAATTTACGACTGGTCTGACCACGTGAGATTCTACCCGGATGGAGTAGACCCTGGAACATATGAAGAGAGTCAGAGAGAAATGACTACCATTTTCTCAAAGATTTCACAATAGCTTCTATCACACACTCATCTACCTCGTTATAGGATAAAGGAACACCAGCGGTGGGACAGGTCTGTCAGGTCAGACAAGACAGAACGGCTCTGAAGTATGGGAGCTCAAGGTCAACGAGCTGACTTTCCGGCTGCATCCCTAGAACTTACCATTATTCAAGACTGCCTTTAAAAGTTGCCCTCTCCAGCTGCAGACGGGCAAAGTGGGGGGCTTGAGAGGAGACAGAAGGGACGAAACGTGTGGGAGCCTGGAATCTCATAGTAAAAGCCCACATGTATTCCTCCCCACCTGAGTCTTCAGATCTGGCCTCCTCACCCTGAAGCCTTGCAAGGTCATCACAAACTTGCAGTGACCTCTCCACGTCAGAGGTGGTTAAAAAACAAAATCTTCCTCATGCTGGAAAAATCTGACTCACATTCTATGCAGAGACACTCATGAAAACAAGAGATGCTCTCGTTTGGATTTTGAGGCAAGGATTTGTTTTAAAAAAAAAAAGGTCATTTCAGTGCAGAAGCAAACAGCAGCTGAAAGAAGGTCTGCTCAGGACGAGTCTTCTGAGAGCTGCAGAGTGATAGGTCTGGGGCAGAAGCAAAGGTTCTTGCTGGGCTGCAGAGGAAGGATGTCCACAGCTGCTGTCTACCACAACACTGTCGCACATGTGACCTTAAAGGAAAAGCAGCTCAGAGACCATCACCAATCCAGCGGCCAAAGGCCACTGAGAACGCAGGCCGATTTCAGAGACACAGCTGGGAAGAAACACATTCTCTTCAGATTGGGATATCTTCCGTGAATTATAGCTGAACCAAAATGCTGAAAACGAGTTTGTCTGGCATGCAGGCATTTAAGAGGCAGTGCAAGCCAAGAGGAAAATAGTCTGGTGCTGTGTTTCTAGCTCTGAACATCTGTATTTTATCTGGCGTCCAGATGATGAAAAGGTTCAGGGAGCCAAGAGTCAGAGCAGACTTGATTCCCCGAATGACTACACGTCCCTTTCAACTGGACTACGCACTCTGCAAGCAGAAATCAGGTCCTGATTGTTCCCCTTTGTCGAAGCACCACACCCACCCCTCTGCATTTTCTACAATCAAAACGTAATGTTTTTGAAGAGAGGAAGGAATTAGTCCATTTGGGGATTTAGCACGAATAAGGGATTTGGGAAGCAGATGAAAATGTTTCTCGTGGCTGGACAAAAGCAATAAAGTCAACGACATGGCTGCACTTCTCCACCTCAACGCACTAGGAAATAAGACATGCAGACTATTAACAGTGATTAAAAAAAAAGTTTCTTCAATGAGCAAGGGGAGGCCACAGCTCAGTTTCCCCAGTGTAGAGCAGGCACCACTGAAATGGACTGAGCCAATGCCTGCATTTTCCTCCTGACTTCTTTTCCTTAAAAAAACAACGTTGATGCCACTGGTAACCTCCCCGAGTAACCCAGCCCTAGGGTGAGGAACGGTTTCTGCCCACGGAGGGTCTGAGAAACCCCCCAGGAGACATGACAATGCAATGTCCCATGGGATCCTCAGGGGGCCAAGGCAGAAAGGGGGCATGAGGGGAAATTTTTAAAAATCCAAATGGAAAAAATACCAACCAGGTTGAGGTGGTAATAGGAGGGCAGAGGGTCCCAGAGGACAGCACTGATTAGCTGTGCCTTTAATATGATGGAGAGCAGACTGCAGTCATCTTGGGTCAACTTAGAGGCAATCCAAACAAATCACAGTGTTTATGAGAGAATGTAACTGCCTAGGTGGTACCAGGAAGGTGTTATGTTGTTGTCGTGGTTTTAAACACAGATTCAGATCCAGGGAGGACACGTAAGATGGGACAAACTTCAGTTCACCCCTTCAGCCACACTACTGCCAGCGGAAACCATCAGATCGTGTCTGCCATCTGAAGACTGCGACTGCCCCCGACATCTAGGTCAGCGTGCGCTGAGGAAGCACCCTGGAAATAAAAATCCGCTCAACTTCTCTTTTAATAAGGTGGCTGCCCACAAAGAGTGGAGATGACAAGAGGGCATCACTCTTTGGCAGCCACCAGCTGAACGGGAACACCTCCCATCCCCGTCCAGGGATGGAGAGCTCCCCACACATCAGGCCACGGCTGGCCAAGACACAGTGGTCTCTAAAGGTGGCTGCTCAACTCACCGCTCTTCCTGCACCAGGAAGTCAGAGCGCAGAAGTACAGAACATCCCCAGACTCCCCAGTCACTAATCTGAAGGTTACTTGGTCCAGTGTCCTAGCATGGCAATTACAGAACCAGTATTAAGCAGGCTGCCCCAGGGCATCAGCAGTGACTCAGCCATCACGCGGAGCCACCGATGGCGGAAATGTTCAGGTGTGACCTGCCGTGGGCTTTGAAAGGAGTTGATGGCTTCAGCTGGTTTCCTGAAACCATTGTTGGAAATGGAAACAGTTTACTTTTCTATTGCTGTTAAATCATTTGAATTTTCTTAAGTGGTTTTCCCACTGGAAAGTCCTAGGAATAATTTCTGCAGATTTCCTTACCCACCTATTTCCATCATTGATTAAAACCATGTTTGTAGCAGGCTCTAATTACATATTCTGATGGTAGTCTAATCTACAAAGCGCAGACATGGTAAATAACTTTTTATCTTTGACCACATCCTAACAATTTATCACTAGCCTGTCTTTGATCTTAATTTCTATGCTCTGAGAAAGACTGAAATCCCAGGGTCAGTTACAAATGCTGGAAGCCACTCGTGTGTGGAAAAAAATTCTCAAGAGGGGGGAGATATGTTACCTGATAGTAATTAAACTTTAGAGAATTCTAAAGATACCATGAAAATCTGATTTTTAGAAGGACTTTGTAGATATATACAGTTGCCTCACTTAACTGAGAAATGAGAATGTGATTTTTACTTAACTAACCAATCAGAACCCAGTGTGCAGGAAATACATGTTTCTGGGTAACTAAGTAAACTCCTGGCCCAGTGGTATGAAGGAGCCAGTTGCACCTGCTTCCACTGACTGCTAAACACCCAGGACCTCTCTAAGCAGATCATTAAACCACTGGCAACTTGAAATCAGCTATGGTGGGAATACTTACACCATGGAAACTTAGAAACATGATGAATCAAGCTTTCTGTTTGGTTTGTTTTCCAAAGAGCCATTTTACCATACATCACCACTTTGACCTCTACCAAACTACCTTAAATCCAACTTAATTACTAAGTCATCCCTCTAATGAATGTAGGCTCCAGAATTGGGCATACCTGGATTCAAATCCTGGCTCTTTACTAGCTCTGTGACCTTGAGCACGATACTCATCCACTTCGAACCTCGGTTTCTTCACCTGTAAAATGAGAACATGAAACTATCTCATACAAGGTCATTTGGAGAATTAAATGCTAGATAGAACACATACAAAGCCTCCAGCATATAATATGATACAATAAAAGTTAATCTATCCTCTAACCTTTTAACTGAACCTAGTTTTCACACATGAAACACTAGTTCATTTTCAAAACTACCTTCTTGAGCTCATGAAACAAAGCAATCTGGAGGCCTAGAGAGTAACACAGGTCTGGACAAAACGGTTCCAGAAAGAAGGGCAAATAGTGAGCAGCTGGGATGCCTAATAGCCACACTGAGACCCAACTTATCCAAGAATGCGTACAAAGATGTTGATAGAAGTTTTATTTATAGTAACAAAAAAAAAGGAGGAAGCAATCTAAAAAACATAACAAGAGAAAAAATTAAGTGAATTAAGGTTCATGCAAATACACAAACTATTAAAAAGAATTTTTACAAATAATTTTCATGGCAAGAGAAAATGCCTATAGGAGTTATAAAATTAAATGCAAACTGTAGGGTCAGTATTACAAATGCAAAAGATGTAAATGACTATGTATATGTACACATATATAATTATACTCACACATTCAATATAAAGATAGGAAATCTATGTGACAAAGTATACACAGCAGACACTTCTGGGTAGTAAGATTATGGGCAAACTTTATCTTCTTCTTTATCCTTTTTGCATTAAAAAAATAAAATACTTTATTTCTTTTAATAAAAAAGAACCTGTGCGCACCACAAGCCCATCTTCGGTGAAGAGCCTGCCGCAGGAGCGAAGAAGGTGGAAGTTTCGAATCAAAAGAGGTAACAGAGAAATAGGGAGACGACCATCAAACATAGCAGGAGAGTCTCTGTGATGTAGAAACCAGCCTAAGAAGTCGGGCAAGGAGGAGCAAACAGGGATGGAGAAGTCGTGAGAGAAGTGGAGACAGGAGGGGACCACCACATAAAATATAAGTGGGCACCCAAAGGGGAGAGACTGGGAAGCATACAGCACTGGAGACTTCTAGAACACACGAGGACATTCCTCAGGTGCTAAGTGGTTACGCTTGGGCAAGGCTGTCAAGAAAAGCCTCTGTCCTCACAGATCTTTAAGAATAGTGCCTTCCCAGTCACTGCAGCATTGCTGAAATAGCAAAGATTGGGGGGAAAAACTACACGGTTACCAATAGGAACGTAGAAAAATGAAGCATGACACAACCACACGATGGAATGCCATGGAGCCATCAGAAAGAAAGAAGAGGTTCTTTATGTACTGATAAAGAATGGTCTCCAAAATACTGAGTTACCAAAAAAAAAAAAGCAACATGATAAACAGTGTGAATAGATAAAGTCTGTATAAAAAGGGTGGGGGGGATGGGAAGGGAGACTTCACAGTACATGCCTTTTCCACATTTTGAACCACGTGAGTATTGCTTGTTTAATTGAAAAAATTAAAAGAAGAAGAACTTCTGTTTTATATGGTTGAACTATAGTCATTTTTGAAGGATGGAGATTACATTTTCTTGTCAAGGTTATTTCTGGTGAGAGGTGGTGGCGGTCCTGTTCAGTCTAGAATTTCTGGAGTAGAAAACGGAGAAACTACGGTCAAGGTCAAATTTTACTTGTTGGGATTAAGTCATTGATCTTTTATGATAAAAAGCTCTGGCTTGGGGTGACTTCATCCATTGCCCAAGCCTGCCTGCTAACTGTGTGTACAGAGTACCCTCTAGTGGAAGTATGAGGACATTACAGAATTTTATGCCAAGTGTACTGAAGTAAAATTAGCAAACTGCCAGAATGTGAGTTATGTTTATGTAATTATAAATGCATGTATATGTGTAAATATATACATTATATTTTTAAATATGAGAAAATTAATTTTAAAATATTTTCAAATATAACATTTTAGCACAAAAATGATAAAATCAACCAATGGCCTGGATATAGAATATTGAAGATTTTCAAGTTGCTCAATGTCTGATGAATATTATTTTGTTATTATTCTTTGAATAACTGCTCTCAACCACTAAATAAGCACCTTTTCCCCAGCTTAGTTGAGATATAACTGACATACGACATTGTGTAGGTTTAACGTGTATAACATGATGATTTGAAATGTGTATATACTGCAAAATGATTACCACCTTAAGGCTAGCTGACACATCCATTACCTCTAGGCAGACCGCTTTCATGAAAATCCCAGGGCTAGTATTGCTCTGCACTGGCTAACTGAACTCTTAACAGATCCCCCAGGGAGAGGACATCAGTCAGGTGGTCTACTGGAAAACCAGTGCAAAATTTTCTCTCCAAACTAGGGGAAAAAAACTGCCACTCAGCCTGGCAGGATGGACAATCATTTATAGCCACAGATCTCTGTCTCTATTATCCACCTGCCTACCTTCGAACCTAGTTTTCTCTGAAGCAGACTCATCAGGTTCCTAACCATGAGTACCATGAGAGAAACCAAGCAATGCCTCCTGGTGCCAAGCCAAGTATGGAACAGAAGAAGGAGAAAGGGGAATAAAAGCCTCAGAAATGGGGTAGAATAGTAACAAATGAGGAAACCAGGAAAGAGGAGAGAAGCAGCAGCAGGAACTACCACTGACAGAGCGAGTGTGTGCACACTTCACCCATACTGTCTCATTCAGACTTCACAAGAGTCCTATAAGGGAAGAATCATGTGCTCTCATTTAAGAGACATGGGAAGCAGGACTCTGAAAGTTTAATTACTATATCCATGGTTACCCTGCCTGGAAGGGGCACTGCTGGGCTCTGAAGGCAGGTGTGACAGGAAAGAAAACTCTGCCAGACTGACTTTCAGGAAGAGAAGGAAGGAAATGAAAGGCAAGAGGGGAGGGAGGGAGGAAAAGAGGGAGGAAGGGAGGAAGGGAGGAAGGGAGGAAGGGAGGAAGGGAGGAAGGGAGGAAGGGAGGGAGGCAGGCAGGCAGGCAGGCAGGCAGGCAGGCAGGCAGCCGGGGAGAGGGAGGGAAATGGTAAGATGCCAATAATAACAAATGACTGAACCTCAGGATCATTCCTATGACATATTCTGAGCTAGAACTTCTTTTTCTAATCTTCCCCTGTGTGAGTCATGCTGATTCCCAAGCGATTACTGAAATTTAGTCAAGATCTGTGTACTGAGTGAGTGATGTCATTGAGGCTGTTATGTATGTTGTGAAATTGCCCCACAGTGTTGCCGACTTTCTGGAAAAGCCTGCGCATCAAATGGTTGTTTGGGGAGAGGGGAAACAGCTTTAACTTTTCCTAGTTTAATGGCATATTGACCTGGGATGCCCTATCACCTGACCAGCCAGAAAGCTCTTGGGTGGCTCCGTTATGTTGACGTTTAGCGATGACTGGGAGCACATTTAAGAGATCAATTTGGGTCACACGCCACAGTGGCTACTCTGAAGAATACAAAGACCCAAACATCAACCAGTTATGAGATCTGGTTCCAAAAAACAAGAAACAAACAAAAAAGAGATTAAGTTTCTCCATGAAAGGCACAATGAATTCTCAGTTATCATCCTGGAGTGAAGCAAAGTGGTCATCTAAGAGTCTTAGGGAAATAAGTGATTATCTTTGACTCGAAAACTCACACACGCATATACACAACCACACACTCACTCACTCCCACACATTTTTGAAATATGAAAGAAGAAACGCTTGCTAGTTTAAATATCCTCATAGTGTTTAAGGTTATCCTGTCACTGGGAGTTTGCCAAGAAAGTCTTGATAATCAATTGTCAATGAAGGAGTAAGAAAATAAAATAAATGAAGCCCACATGGTTGGCATTGGGTGGTGTCAACACTTAGCTAATGTAAAATCTAAGGGGTTCTATTTTGGGTGAAAAGGGAAATGAGATTACCCATGAGATTGCTCTCAACACCGTAGTACTATGAGTCTGTTCAAAAGAGACGGACTTCTTGTTTCTTTCCCTACACAGACCTTTTGAGAAGACACCAGCCTTGTGATTCTTCTTGTAAAACCTGCCATGGATCTGCGACCCTGTGCACTTCATGTCCGAAAGGTTAGTGTGGTGTGTGACAGGAGATGGCAGTGGCCAATCCAATTCACTGTAACTCATGTATATTAGCATCTTCATGTAAAAAGTTTGCAGGATTTTATCTAGTCCCATCACATGATCCTAATCCCAGTGGCTGCTCTGGAAAAATAGAGGGATCCAAACACTGACCTATAGTAAAAACTGGTGCTCAAGAAACCAAAACAAAAAAGAAATGTTTCTTATCCAAAAGGATAAAGAAGTTAGTGATTGATTTGGCCACAGAATTTGTTAGGGTCTCTGGGTACCCGACATTGCTAGAGGTTCCACTATTCTTTTAAAGTGCATTAGCTGAAACAAGAGAACTGAAAGCAGAGAACCTAGGCAGGGACAGAGTCTACCTGGTATTCCCTCCTTCATTTCTGGGAATTTGGGGAAGGAAAAAAAAACAAGAGCAACAAC